AGAACCTAGAAGAATTCTGGAAAGGTTTTATGCATATGACAGCTGAGGAAGCTAGGTTCAACTTTAGGGTGTAAGGTGATAATGAACTCACTATGGAAACCAAAAGACTAATTGGAAATCTGACAGGAGCGATCTAAACAGGATGATGGTATGACAGTGCTAGTGCCAATAAATTAACTTTTTTCTTTTTTTAATGAGTTGGCAAAGGTTAAAGGAAACCACATTCACACACTGCTTGTAGAAGTACAGTGCAGCCCTTCTGAAGGGCAGTTTGGGAGTATAAATGAAGAGCCTTAAAATTGTGCATGACCTCTGACCCAGTAATCCTACCTAGAGAAATTTATCATAGGAAGTATTCAGAAATGTTCTCAAAGTTTTGCAGTTAAAAATTGTAATACCAAAAAACTGTAACAACTTGAATATCCAACGTAAAGGGAGTGGTCAAATATATTTATCTAATAATGCAGTTCTGTGTAGTCATCAAATACTGTTTTCAAAGATTTTTAAAAAACTTTTTTCACTGATTTTTAATTGTTGAAATTCTCACAAAATAATTTTAAAAAAAGGAAACATAGCTATACATGTAATATCTCAATTTTCAAAAAAATATTTAAGTAGATGCATAGATATATATATGACTAGAAGAAAATAAACCAAATTGTCAACAGTAATTGTATCTGGTGAAACAGCAGAAAATTTTTATTTATTTCCCATTTTTCAGGCTAACTGCAATGAACATATATTCTGCATTAGAAAAAATATATTTTTTAGAGAAAGCCTTTTCAAAGTTGCTTTTTGCTAACTGTTCAATGCTGTTTTGCAGAGCAAAGATGAGTACAAATCACAAAATCTCCTGTTTTTTCAACTCTTAATACCCACATTTTTACTGCTAATTGTCTACACAATGTAATCTGGTTTACTTCAACTTCTAGGAGAAAGGCTCAGGAAGTGGAAGATAAGAGTCAGACTCCTCTAGAAAATGGCAGCAGTGATAATAGATTATAGGAGCTACTAAGGAGAGGGAGCCCTGCTGGCACAGTGGTTAAGTGCTTGGCTGGTAACTGAAGGGTCAGCAGTTCAAACACACCTCCCTCTCTGGGGGAGAAAAGACCTTGGTGATCTGCTCCCGTAAAGATTACAGCTTAGAAAACCCTATGGGGGCAGTTCTTTTCTGTCATCAACAAAAAAAAAAAAATACCAATTGCTGCTGAGCACTTAACCACTGTGCCACCAGGGCTCCTTAGGTGTAAATTAAAACCATACAATTCTTAGAAGAAAATGCAGGGGCAAGGCTGTCAGGCCTAGCTTTTAACAATGGATTATCTAACATAATTAAAGCATGAACAGCAAAAGACAAGATAAGTAAATGGGACTTCATAAAAATTAAAAAACTTTTGTTCATCAAAAGACTTTACCAAAAAAGTGAAAAGAGTAGCTGCCGATTGGAAGAATATCTTTGGAAATAATATATCTGATAAGAATCTGATAACTAAGATGTATATAAAACTTCAACCAGTTAACAACAAAAAGACAACCCAATCATAAAATGGGCACAGGACTTGAATAGAAATTCCACCAAAGATGAAGGGTAAGACAGTACACAATACTGGGGAAGCTAGCACAGGTTGTACAGGGCAAGGTCATGGAAGCTCCATAGACACATCCAAATTCCCTGAAGGACCATATTGCTGGGCTGAGGGCTGTGAGGACCATGATCTCAGGGAACATCTAGCTCAATTGGCATGACATAGTTTATAAAGAAAATGTTCTATATTCT